AAAGCGGCCCTTGCATGGCCGGCATCGCATCCGCCGTCCGGACGCATCTTACGAGACCAATGCCACCTTGCCACTGGCGCGACTGGCTGTCACCTTTGCGCCTGGAAACGAGCCAAGTGAGTACTGGGCGTTTTCCGGGTCCCTGAGGGATATTGACAAGGCTTTGGCCACTCACCCGCACTTGGCAAGCATCTTTGCATTTGTTTTTGGTTCTCCAAGTCTGGGGCGTTGCGCCAGACTTGCAGGAGCTTTTCGTTTTGAGAGCCAGAGGCGCAGGGCACCTTTTTATGGGGTTGAGGCCGCCGAGAATTGCACTCCCGGGCAGTTTTCTGCCACTCAGCCGAGTAGTTGTGTGCTAGGGGCATACAGGACTTTCGGAAAACCGGGGTCAAACTCGAGATTTTCAGCATTGTGCAAGTGCGTTGGAAGCGTACCTTGTTCTACCACGATCTGGGCTTATGTTTGGGCTGCGCGCTTCCCAGGAGAAAGAGGTCGACTTGCGGGAGCTGTTGTCCCTATATCCGCAGCACAGCTCCGTCAACCTGTGGCTGTCCATGGAGGGAGGTGTCACACCCTGCCACTTTGATGGCTTTCACAATATGTATGTGCAGATTGCCGGCGTCAAGCGTTTCCTGTTGCTTCCTCCAGACTCGCATGCAAGCCGCGAATTTTATCCGTTTCTACACCCCAGCTATGCCCAGTGCCGGAATCGCTTGGCAGATAGTCCCAGCGGCCACGTCATGGAAGTGACTTTGCAGCCTGGCGACCTTCTCTACTTGCCGCCTTTTTGGCTGCACGAGGCAGTTGGCCTGTCTCCGAGCATTTCCCTCAACGTGTCTTGGCTTTGGTTGGCTGCCTTGCCACATATGCTTTAAACACAGCACGTGGCGTATATGAGTTTCCTTGCGGTGACAAACCATGTATAATTGTGCGTGTTTGCGTGTGTGGTTCCTACATGGCATCGTTTTATGGCAGCTGGGGCATACTATCAAACTTTGCTGCATGATGACGCAACAATGATCTGCTTGTTTAAAAGCGTCTGGGGCGAGGCTATGCTTGGATTGTAACACGCCCGAGGTCTATGTTCGCCTAACTTTCGCTTGACCGCTGCGCTGAAAGGGCTCGCTTAGGTCTGGACCGGCATCAACGATAGCCAGCGGATGGAACGAATCCTCGGAATGCAGATCCCTGGCTTCGGAGCTGCAACTGAGGAAGCAACGTGGAACAGGTGCAGGTCCAAAACATCCCACAGAAAGGAGTGTTCCTGTCTCAATTGGTTCCAGGATCCGTTGCATACGTTCCAAGATGAGTTTGCCATGGAGAAGAGAAGTCACTGTCTCGTTGCTTGCCGAACTTCTGGCCTATGCTTGTGCACGGGCATGTGGGGAGTCCCATGAAACACCCATGACTATGTGCATTGTCGGAGCGGCCCATTTGTTTGTGCGGCCCCCCCCCTCAGCGTGGTTATCACCTTTCGTCCCAGGCTTTCGAGGAGGGAGTCCGAGTGCCACCTCTCCCGCTGGAGCGTTGTCGCCAGAAACCCTTAGCGTGTCTATGGCGGCGAGGTTTCAGCTGGGCTCTTTGTTGGCTTCTCGCCCGCCAAATTTGCGGAGCTGTGCCTTGATCTTAGGCAGAATGACCCCTTGGATTACCCGGTCCCTTCAAAATGAAGGACGGCCCGCCTTCTTTGAGGAAAAGTGGAACAGGAATTGTTCAGGGGTACCCCATCGTAGCTTTCAAGGACTTAGATGGTTTCAACCGTTAACGGCGCTTTTCTGGGGATTCAGACACACAAGCAAGGAAATGGGTGCTTAAAGGCTCCCCTAAAAAGCCAGTACCTTCCCACCAATTAACATGGAGCCTAACAGGGGGGTCTTGGAAGACCATTTTTGTTTTGAGGGGACCCGCTGTCAGGTTCCATGTTTTCGTGGGAGCACAATTTGGATGTGGACGCTTAGCCAGTCATCTCAGGTCTTGGATGTTGCCAAGAAGCTCTACAACTCTACTGCGCTTGTGGTTTCTCTGTTCCACTCCCGCTTTCAGTGGCGTGGGTGGATTATGGGGAAGATGCGCAGGCAACAGTTGATGGGGGCATTTGACCAATAGTAGAAGTGTCCTTGTTTCGTCCCTGTGTTTCCCATGGGAAAACAGGCCGGTTAATCCAATGGTTACTCTGAAGTGTGCCACGCGTTTCAAGTCAGAGGCTTGATTACAAAAGCCTTTGGACATCCACAGTGCGGGTTGTCATTGCCGGCTGGAACATGCACTCTGAGCTAAGGTTGATTTGGGACAGTCAGGGGTTTCTTCCGTGCGTTTTGGAGGCCCAAAACACGGGTGATCACAGCCATGACTGTTCCGTCCACCGGGCTAAGGTTCCTCAAAGACTCGGAGGCAGGGAAGTAAGGAGCAAGGGCGACCAGTTGTCATGAACGCGACCGTGAGCGTTTCACATAGACGCACATATGTCAGCAAATGATGCATATGGTGAGGACTTGACTTGAATGCATACACATGGGTGCTTTTTCTTCCTCCTCAAACCCCCCAAAAGTAGTGGTCTTCCTTTTGGTTCCCTTTACCACCTCAACAAAAACAAGGGTTTTTTTCCTTTTGGTTCTCAACAAATTGGGAACCTCAAGGGAAAGGACGCTGCCAGATACTTGCCTTTTGGTTTCTTTGCCCAGTTCTCCAGGCCCTGCCTCCCTGTCCGCGCCATCTCTGCAGCTCGGTGGCCGCCTGGCTGCGCCGCAACGAAGCCGCGCCGCCGGCTCTGGCGGCCGCAGGCGGGGCCTACGCCCAGCGCGTGGCGGAGGAGCTGCAGGCGGAGCGAGGGAGGTCGATGGGATGCGGCCGGCGGATTCTTTAGACTCTCACTGCCTGAAATGGTTGCAGGGTCTGTTTGGAGGTTGTCATTTAAGAGGCAAATCAAGGTAGTGCCGCTGTTCTTTGTTTCGGTGGGCCAAGTTTTGTACTTTAGTTTTTCTTTTTGGGGTTTGGACCAAACTTTTAGTGGGAAATGGACAGTTCTGAGCTTTTTGTGGCCAATCCACTTAGGAAGTGAGTGGTGGATCCTGCAAAGCTTCAGTCGGCCCATGGAGTTTGTCCATCAGGAAACGGTTGCTTTGCATTATTCCACAGAAGGGCATTCCCCAAAACAAGATTCCAAAAAACATGGCTTTTGAAATTCGGAGGTTTATGTGAAGTGTATGTTGGCCGGAAAGTGGCCGCCAGGCAACAGGGTTTGAAAGGGCCCTTGGACTTTTGAAGCTCACATAATCATAAAGACTTCCATTTGCAGAAATGAATATTTCATATTTTCCCTTGTTGGTTTGAAAGGAAAACGATTTCACTGGCCATATTTTCATATGTTTTCCAGTGGGCTCAAGCAAATGAAAGAGGTTTTGGCTCTTGCCCAAGAAATGGATATCAAGCCCACTTTGGCAAAGCTGGGACAGAGAATGGCCGTCAGGGCTCTTGCCCTAAACGTGGCCTTTTTTGCAAATCAACTGCTTCCATTTGATTAAGAATATTATTTATTTTCCCCTGTTGGTTTTAAAGGGAATTTGTCACTACATATTTTTTTCCAGGGGTCTTAATCAAATGGAGGGCTGTGCGTATCGGGGTCAGGCTGGCTTTGGTTGGACCTTTTGGCAAGAGGTGCGACCAGGATCTGCGTTGAGTGTGACCCGAATTTAATCACAAAGCAGGCCAGTTGCGAGTATGGCTCAAGGAGAAGCTTTTTTCTCACAGCTTTTCTGTCACCGTTGGGTATGCCGCATCCCGTGTGATCAAGATTTGGGGGGGTTGTGCAGCAATGCCTCTTTCCAGGCTGTTCTGGGGCCATGGGGTATGTTGAGCAAAGCCTTCCTGCGGACCAAAGGCCCTAGGTATTTTTAGCAAAAGCTAAGTGAGAGAAGCCTCAGTTTGTCGGGTTGAGGCCATGCAGACTGAGAACTCCATTTGGTTCTTCAACTTCATCGAGGCCGTGGCTTTGCAACTTGGCTGCGAGCTCAAGCGCGGGCTTCACCCTGCCAATGCTCTGAAGCTAGATGCTTGGATGTCAAGCAAGGCTCTTGCGGTTAAAGCGCATTTTAGAACCGTTTGCGCGGAATGTCCCATTTGACGTCACACCCCACAACTGGCGTGCACCGCTGCGTGTCACATCGACGGATCTCAAGGAGGCTTCGAGGAGTGGTGTTACAGAAATGCGACCTTGACGGGGCACCATCCTAGCTTTCCATGTCAGGCAAGCAGCAGGAGCTCCTGAGCATGCTGGCTGGATGGTGGAATGCCTCGCGCTTTGATTCGGCAATGGACCTCTTTTTCTGCATGAGAAAGCCATCGCTGCTTTTGAGCGATGGACCGCCAAACTTGCCCTTCTTGGGGAACAAAAACATGGGCTAACGAGCCGTGGACAAGTCTGTGGACAGGCGACAGGCCAAGATGATGCGTTGATACCATACGCGTATAGCGACAGTCAGAGTGCAAGCGCGCCGCACTTACAGAAAAGAGCTGGAGACATCTGGCCGTGGAGCCTTGAGGTTGCAACCTTGAGAAGCCTGTTGGAGCTCAGCGGCAGCTGCCGAAACATTTTTAGCCCAGCGTTGACCTGGCAAAGCCGTTTCTTTGCTTGTCGCACTTGCGAGCATCTCACCTTGGATGCAGGATCCGACACGGAACTTCTTGATGCAGGTTTGGAGGTACTCGTGACTTGTCGCATATTTTGACAAGGAGTATCAAATCTAGGCTGCTCGCAGGGCAAACAAGCCTTTGGACGCGAACGGAATCGCCACTTTTGACTCGTAAGAGAAGCACTGCCAGGCCTGTCGGCGAGCAGGGAACTCAGAGCTCAGTTTGAAGACGGCCTCGCTGTGCTCACCCAGGCGCTGTGTTTCGTAATTCCCTCCTAGAAACTGCACGCTGTTGATTGACGTTTCAGCTTGTTGCGTTGTCGATGTGGCAGATTCTCAGGCGGTGTGGAATGGCACTCTTGGTTTGTGGTCATGTTCAACCTATGGCTTTGTCATTTGTTTTACCCGGCATGTACCCGAAGAACATGGAAAAGTCAAACATCCGCCTTGCACGACCTACCTTGGGTCGAGGCTGAGGCAACACTGCCTTTTGAGGGCGTCACTCAGTATGACAACCTCCGCAGCCTGAAATGATGATATGTATACATATATATATATATGTATTGAGATGCAGGTAGGACGCATGCTCATACTGGTTAGTTGATCTCGGCTTCGAAGGTGTTTGCAGCAATGTCGCTGTTTGGTATGCAAGAGACGTGGACATGTCCAGTTGTTTTTGTTCCGAAGGATAAGGCACACAAGCCTTTGAACGCATCAAATGGTGAGTTATTCGCTGTCAACATTCCTCTCAATGCTAGCCATTTCCGCACCTGTCCTTGAGCGGCAGGTGATATACAAATATTGAACACGGCGGTCAAACATAGGACGAAGCGAGTAGCAGTGGGCACCGGTATGCTGCTTAAGGCTTTCCATTTGTGTACCTACAAGATTGGTTTGAGGAAAGGGGCTGGGTATCTGATTAGGGATTTGCAACTGGGTTGGCGGATTTCGTGTGCATGTCTTCTCTGAGTGAGCTAGGCTTGCAGTGCAGCTCGGCAGGCAAAGTGTGAGGGTAGATCTGGCATGCAGCGTGTGCCCTGCGTGGCCCACTGCATGGACGTTTGGCATAGGGAAAAGCATAGAAGAATCAAGCGTTTTGCTTGTGCAGACTTACTCCGCGCAGGACACCTGTTCCCATTTTGCAGCCGTGCCTGTAGGGCATTGCTTGTTCAGCCAGCTGGGGTTGATTGGCCTCGGGCAACTCATCTTATTGGGCCATGGGCTCCCGCCAACATCAACATCCAGCAGCTCCATGATCTCAATGGTTTCCCTTGACAGGCCCATGTGAGAATGAAAGTAGCACAATCCCCTTGTGGCCAACATGAGAAGGAACGGAGCCATCTACCTTCAGCCACTGTACGGGTAAGTCGTGTGTTGAATGGGTGTTTTCTTTGGTTGAGATGGCTGTGCACATGAAGGGTCCAGTGTTTGGCTTTTTGGGGCGCCGCTGATTTTGCATTTCTGCGCCTTTGAGCGCTGAACTCGTGCGAAGCACCAACATGAGCAAACTGCCTAAAAACCCGGGGCATACGATCCAGCTAGGTCATGCAGATTTTGGGTATTATTGGCTCAGGGTAGGCCCGAGAAGCCTATTGATTTCTGGTGGTGCTATGGCGAAACATTAAATCGCCAGCTTCGCAGCTCGGAGGTGCCAAGGCACCCATCCAGCTGCCCCTTTGGCTGGCAATGTTCTGGTGCAAGTGGCAAAATCACGGCTGAAGAATATCAGAATCCCAACCATGGAGAAAAAGCAGTGGCTGAAGACGCCCACTTTCCAAAGTTTAGCGCGCGGTCACCCTTGCAAAAACTCTCTTGTCAACTGATCTAGATTGGGATTGTGCAAGCCTTCCGTTCTGATTAGAAGGAAATCCTCTCCAGCCCCATCCGAACAAAGGAGCTCGGAACTGTCACTGCCAATGCCAGTTCCAGGCCTCTTCGCAGCTTCAGAGGTTCCGTTCCGAATTCAAAATCAAGGAACAAGCGCATCAAAGTACAGCGCTGAACAAACATTGAACGCGACTTCCCTTCACTCTTGTATTGACATCTCAGTGGCCAGTCCTGGTCACAGAAAGGATTGGGCCAGAGAGGACTAGCCAGCATCAGATCAAATGCACCCAAAGGTTTCGAAAAAAGTTCACATAATCCACAAAGGTTGCAGAGCTGTGCGGGTCCAGGTACCAAGGTACCAAGGCCAGGTGCCCCACTAGCATAGTCAGACTCGGCAAGGCACCCCTCGCAACTGGCGTCCGCTGAAAGCTCAGCACATGGCTCAAGACCCATGGCTCATCCTGCGAGTGACCAATGCATTTATACTGTACATTCCTGGGCACCATGTCAATGCCCGGGCAATCATGTACACACCATTTGTGCTTGGGTATGAAGGCACATGGGGCTTGGACAAAGCCTCAACGGTCAGCCTTTGTCAGGACCAATGGAAAATCGACTGTGCCCTGTCAATGTTGCTTTGTGTGCCCCAAGGATCACTCACCCAGCAAGCTGTTGCCAATGGAGATCGCGCACCAGTCGCATTCCACTGTTGGTAGAGGTTACAAGATAAAGGGAGACGAAGGCTTGTCGTTTGTAGCAGGGCCTGTGGTAACGGCAACTGTTGCGGCAGGTCCTCACTTCGATTCATAATTATGGCCTTTTTGCTTGTGTGACGCCTCGGGGCGTCGCACAAAGGCAAGAACCAACTTCATTCAATCGCTGAAATGGTCCTTGTTATCCCTTGAAATGGAACTCGGGGGGAAGCCCACTGATCAACCCTTTGGCAAGCCACACAGCCGCACTTGCAGCGCACTGTGCCATGCGGAGCCTGGTGTTTCTGGCTTTGCCGCCCGGCAACCAGAGATCGATTCAAGCCTGAATGTGCATGGAGGGTGCAATGCACTTTCAGGAAGGGCTAGCCGGATAGAGGGTTTGACAATGTCTGGGTTGGGATGGGGATTGGGCTGAAGTGTTTGCTTAGTGTCCACCTGGGATTAGTAAACGGGGGTCCCCCCCCCCCTCCCCCCCCAACGATGGGGGCACCTGGAATAGTATCTTGAGATCCAGTTCAAGTGAGTGTCCATTTGATTTAGTATTGGTAGACTTGAGTTTCCATTTGATTTAGTATTGCTGGAGCTTTCTTTTGAGATTTGGAGCTGAGCTTCCATTTGATTTAGTATTGCTTCAGCTTCCTTCCTTTTGAGATTTGGAACTGAGTTTCCATTTGATTTAGTATTGGTTGACTTGAATTTCCATTTGATTTAGTATTGCTGGAGCTTTCTTTTGAGATTTGGAACTGAGCTTCCAGTTGATTTAGTATTGCTGGACCTTCCTTTTGATTTGGAACTGAGTTTCCATTTGATTTAGTATTGGTAGACTTGAGTTTCCATTTGATTGAGTATTGCTGGAGCTTCCTTTTGTTTTTCTTGGGGGGGCCAGGCAACAAGACTTTATTTCGGGGGCCCCTGAAACAATGTCAAGTTGGGGGCTGAAGTACTACCCCTTTGTGGGTTTGATTGTGGGCAGGTTTTCAACAAGAGACATGTAAGAAAACGTGGGTTTGGTAAAGCTGACAATTTGGGATTTGAGGAGCAGGCCCAAATCTAACAACACAGCATGAAGAATTGCCAGCCTCACCTAGGCTGTCTAATTACTTGACTGGCTCAGAGGCGGTCAGGTTGTATTTTTCAGGGGGGCAGGCAACAAGACTTTCTTTCGGGGGCCCCTGAATTAATGTCAAGTTGGGGGCTGAAGTACTACCCCTTTGTGCGTTTGATTGTGGGCAGGTTTTCAACAAGAGACATGTAAGAAAACGTGGGTTTGGTAAAGCTGACAATTTGGGATTTAAGGAACAAGGTATCAAAGATCCAAGGACCAGGTGTTGGCTTGGCTATCTCTCCTCTCCTTTCTCTCTTTCTTTTCCTTTTTTTTTTGGGGGGGGGGGATTTTTTTTGGCGCGGGTGGCGGGTGCTTGTCTTTATTCCAGGTGCATTTATTAATCTTTTTTGGGCCCCCCCCATTTGTCTTTATTTCGTGGACATTAAAGCCCACACTCCCGACCTGGTTGCACTTCTCAGCTGGTGAATTGATCAAGCTGTGTGAATGCCGCTTTCCTCACCCCGAAAAATTTGTAGCAAAACAAAGATTGCGGAACCCAGAAGAATGTGTTGCTAGCAGGCGCCAGCAATTGAGGATGCGTGCTGTGGTTTTCATTCAGGTATTGCCGCGCTTGTGTTTCAAGCGGCTGCGCTGCATTTGTCCGAGCAAGAAATTGAGGAAATGACACCGAATCTATAGATTCAGGGAAGCTGAACGCGTCTGCTGTTACGCGGGGCCAAACATGCACGGTAGCTCCTTTCCTGGCCTGCGCGAGGGGTCAGACGAGCGCTCTGGAGTGCTGGACCGATGGCATCACCAGGGGGCAGCGGCTCAGACACAGCGTGGCTGGGGAGGAGGGGAGGGGACTGGCTTGAACCCCGGATCCCGTTTGGCAAAGGGAGTTTTGGCGCAGGAACCATCCTCCCTTCGAAACAGCACGATGTACATTTCTTTGACTTCGGCACGGTAGTATCACAACCCTGTATTGTTGGGCGCTTTGGGGGAGGTGCTTTGTCCATGCCTCTTCAAGACTAGTGAGCGCCATTTTGTCGCTGTTCGACCGCAAGTTGTTCTCATCACTTCTACATTAAAAAGCGCCGTCCTTCCGTGTTTTCACCATGGGCCTGTGGCGTGTGGAGGCAGGCTGGTGGGTGAGCTTACACGTGATGAAGGAGCCATTAGGGTATTTTAGATGGTTCCAAATTTCAATCAGCGGCGCTATGCAGCCAAGGTGTTGCAATGCCATCTTCGGACCAGGTGGCAACTCCCACTGCTACCTGGCAAGGACGAGACAATTCGTCGTGGCCATCGTCCATGGGAAGTTGCTTCCCATCTGTCCTTGCGATGTTCCCAAGCCTCAGCAAGCTGGTGTACTGCACGTGCGGCCACACCTCGTTGAGCATTGTACACGTTTGTTGCGGTTTGGAACCTCCTCGGTTGTCCCCATAGGCCCGGTGCAATTTTGCGCAGATCACAGAGGCTTGTTGACTGTTCACTCGTGGCACCTTGTGGAGAAGCATGACCTGCACATAGTGGAAAGTCTGCTGCCGCCCCATCGGTTTGCCAAATCTCAGGTTGGGATGCCGGAGACTTCAATTTCCAGAGCTGCTGCGGCCAGTGTCCTGACAAAAAAGGGCGGGTGGGGGGAGTCGATTTGGGACTGAGTTTGAAACCAAATTCACAACACCTGCTGGTTTGACCATCTCAACAAACCGCAAGAACCAATCCGAGTTCCTCCCCGATTTGGGCATTTTGAGTAAGTATGACGAGGCCATGGCATTCTGGTGAATAGGCCCCTTTCTTGCTTGCCAATTTGGTTCCAGGTGTGCGTGTGGTGCCTGCAGCTCCTGGCACGTACAAGTGGTAGGCATCAAACAGGATTGTTGTGGCAGGAGTGGCCCCTGACAGTTGGGACAGGGTCAATACTTGTTGTCCACATGCTTTTGTTGTTTTAGACCTGTTCAACTCAAGCTGTTCATAGTGTCTAATCATATGAAAACATGTCAGCAAGATGTGCATGCTGTCAATCACACAAAAAGTGCAATCAATACTTGAATGCTCATGGATTTCCCGAGTTCAGCCTCGATAGACTTGTCCCAGACCTTGAGTCGTGCCCTGTTCCTCTTCTTTGCAAGGGGCCGGCCATGGCCGGCCACTATCAAATGGCCACCGGAGTGGCGTCCGTTCCCAGGTCCTATGAGCCACCGGACTGCAACGCCTTCGTCACCCACTTCAGCTTCAGCGTCGTGGGGGGCTTCGGCCGGCGACCCAGGTGACACGAGCCTTTACACTTGGTGTAGCCTGGTGTTTTGGTGGAACGAGGAAACCGCACCAAACATGATCAGAGAACGAGGAGGCCCTTGTCCTCATCAGAAAAGCATGCTAGCATGTTGATTTCAACTGACCAACGAGCATTTTGGTTTCACCTGCATCACTCAGGAAATCCATTTACACGCACGAGGGCCCCATGACCTTTGTCACGTCCAGCACATGTCTGCCAGTCTTTCTGCTGGCGCGAAAGGCCAGCAGGAGCTTCCGCTTGGAATGTCAAGCCTCAGCTTTGGAGAGATGCAGCGCGGCGCATCAAGAGCTGAGGCTTGCAGCGACCGGCGAGCGCCGGCGACACCTGGGAGCGCTGCGCCAGAGCCATGGACCTGGAGCCAGAGAGGCATGGGGAAGGTGTATGGATAGACATTGCACAGTCCGGATATTGGCGAGCATCCCCGGCAAAGGAGTACAGCTACTATAGCATGCTTGGTCACATCTTTCCTGCATGTGGTATTCGGAAGCATCCACTCGAGGTCCGTGGCTGCCGGCTTTCCGGTTGGCTTTCCTGTGGCTGACTGGTTGAGTTTTTGTGACATGAATGCTGGGCCACGTCAGCCAAGAGGGTCAAGTGCGGGGGTGGAAAACCCTGGTTGTGAAACAAGGGCTTTCAAAGGGAGGCGCGCGTTTGATGGATGCCCTCTCAAGTGTGAAACGTCCACCGTCCACTTCGAGAGCAGGCCTTTCAATGTCACAACATCGCTGTGTTTGCCATGCTGTCAGCAGGGGCTCATTGGTCAACGTGGCAAATTGCTTTTGGAAATCTCTACAGGAACTGACCAATTTGGAGATGTCCACGAGCGAGAGGCATTTTTCACTACACGCCAGACTTCACGAGTCGCGATGTGTTCGCAGGTGCAACTCGGTGAACACCACCAGCCGCACCTGCCCCGAGTGCGGCGTGCTGTCTCCCTACCTCCCGCTGCTCGGCGAGCGCGCAGAGTTTGCGCAGAGTCGTCCTTGCAGTGCCCGTTCAAGGGTTTCTTGGAAGACAAGCATCAAAGTTTTCTTGGTGGTTCAAGCCATCCCCTTAGGATTTTAGCTTTAGGGTTTAGTGGGGGGGTGCCATTTATCGCACAAAAAGCTGAACTTCTAGAAGGGGACCTGGGGTCAGCCCAAAAATGTTGAGGTCCTGAGTCGGCTCGTGGCTTCAGTCCTTGAGGGTAGTTCGTATGTTCTCAACCGGATTTGTTCTCCACATCGGCCTGCCCCATTTCCAGATGCGGCGCTTGTGTTTGTGCCAGAGAAGGCCAAGGATGGCTTTTAGTGGCGCATCGGTTCCAAAATCCACTGGCGGCAGTCGCTGTAGAGGTTTCTTGTTGCTTCAACAAGTGGCCAAAAAGTGACCAGCAGGGTGACAGGTCCCCCGGGTTTTGCATCGCTCGATTTGGCGCGGAGGCAGTACATCCGCTGTGCTTGGGCCTCAAGACTTCTCGTGGGCTAATTTGGTGGTCGGACTCCAGACGAGGCTGCGGAGCCACTTTTGCCGGATGCGGCTTTGTGAAGACCCAATTAATTTGAGTGCAACCTGTCAAGACGTTCTTCAGAGACCTGGCGGTTTCCCGTGGTACGATTGCCGGTTTGCTGTGACATGATACGATTGGGATGGCACATCAGGAGGGATGACTGGGACTGGCCGACCTTTGGACATCAAGGGGGTTGACGGCAAGGCGCAGCCAGGACGCTAATTATTGCAAGGCTTAGCTGGCAATGCCTTAGACCCTTCCAGAGTTTCCAGCTAAGTTAGTGCAGCTTTCACACAGTACGTCCGCTTTTTTTTCTTGAGCCCAGGGCCGAGGGCTGCCTATTTCATTCCCACTCTCTCCCCTTCACCCCCCTTTTCGTCATTCAGTTTGGCCTTCAAACCAACCGATGGCCACCCACACAAACAGAAGAAAGCAACCCCACTCACGCTTACCCATCCTCTCCCAACAAAGTGAAAATGCTCGTAATCCCCTTAGCGCTCGGCCCGCGGGGACTTTCTTCGTGCCATGGACCGGTACCGGGTGGTCTTCGGGGGAAACCCCCCGCAGCTCTTGGAGCTCGAAAGGGGCAGCCTGCTGGCGGAGGCCCACCTACAGGCGCTGCACTGTCCCCCCAAAGTTTTTTCAGAAGCGGAGGCTGTTGGTTGTTGTTGGTTGTTGTTGGTGGTTGTTGGTGGTTGTTGGTTGTCGTTGGTTGTCGTTGGTTGTCGTTGGTTGTCGTTGGTTGTGGCTGGTTGTGGTTGCTTGTTGTTGTTTGTTGTTTGTTTGTTGCTTTGCACTTCCAGGTTGGCAGGTTGGCAGCCAAGTCTTGCCAGCTTAGCTGGTGACGAGCTGGCATGAGCCGGCTGTGGGGGCCCCGACGAATGCTCAAATCTGCTTGACCTGCCCGGAAACCCATATATGTGAGTTGTTGTTTTTGTCCATACGGCTGGCCCACAGCAAATGGCCATACAGTCGTGTACGGTTTGTTGTCAACATTATTGAGCAAATACGGGCTGCATGCGGCCAACTACGACCACCGGCCAGAAAAACATGACCAACATATGCTGGAAGAACGATCCAAAGACAGGTTCCGTCCCAAAAACCTCGGCTTGTGCAGGTGGCCTCGCTCCTGGGCCTCGATCCGCAGCAAGTGGTTCTGCTGCTGCGCAACGCGCCCACGGCAGCGCTGCCGGTGCTGCGGCTCCCGTCCCTGGATTCGGCGCGGATGGGGGTTGAGAGTTTTCACGACCCATGCCCCGTGTAGATACCCTGTTGGGTTTGGGGGTTTGGGATTTTTGTCCGGCTCGGTATTCCAATGGAGGAGCTGGTCGCCTCAAAAGGCCAACTTGCAATGGGAAGGGGGCGCTCCCTGCTTGGGCCGTGGGATTGCTCTTGGGTTTCTACAGCAGCTCAACTTATGAAAGCTCGAGGCTCAGACCGGTGCATGCCATTCGGCCAGCTTGCAGCAATCAAGTCATCCAGTTATAGGGTTGGTCTCCTTAGGATACTATTATTAGTCTTTGACTTAAAACTTAAGCCTTTGGAGCCAAGTGCTTTTGAGACATGCCCATTCCTTGCACAGGTCGAGGCCTCCGAACCGTTTTGGCGGCTGGCGCCGCCCAACAGCGTCAGCCTTGCAAGACTTTGGGCACAAAGCCAGCAGCGTGCGGAGACTTGGGGTTGGTTCCCCATTCTTTTCAACCATCGTTCTTTTCAAGAACCAGGTGTTTCCCTGGGTGTTTGATGGTTTCCTGGAAAGAATGGGGAAGGTACCGGTAGAAGACTCTCTGCACCGCCGGGGCGCTTGCTGGAAGTGTCAAGAGCTGCTGCGTTGAGGTCACAAGTTTAATTTCAAGAATCGTAGCCATTTGCTGCCACATGCCATCCTCCACTTTGCCAGCCCCAGCTGCGATCTGCGGAGGAAGCGACTTGCATGGCAGGTGCTTTTGGTGGAGCTTGACCCTGGCATTGTCTCCGAAATCGCGCCAAGTGCCCGCAGTGCGCCCAGTGCCTCGACTGCGAGCCTGCCTCACGAGCCAGCGCGCGAGGCTGAGCGGGTGGAGGACAAGGAGCATTGCTTGGATCGCCGTGGTTCCGGGCCAGTCGTGGGCGAGGGGGGCCAAGAGCCGACCAGCAAGATTTGTTTGTCAGTGTGCCCCCGTCCGATTGCAGCAGTGCGCGCTCGCACGCCCTGCAGGAGCGAGGACTGCAGGGGTTGCGGAATCTGGGCAACACCTGCCCCATGCTGGAATTTGAGTATTTGGGCGGAGGCTGCGAGTGAGGTCCTGCTCATATGTCAGAGTATGTCAGTATGATTAAGTTCCAGCGAATTTTGCAAATGCTGCTACGCGTGTTCCTTTGTATGTCTTCAATGTTGAGCTGCGTGGCAGCTCAGAGCAACGACGGTACAGTTGGCACAGCCTGGAGCAGTGGCAGATTATGCATATACAATGTTTCAAAGCCAGGGAACAAACATGGAGACGATTGGCTTCAGCGGTGCCAAGATGTGGTCAGCGAGCTGTGTCAAACAATGGGCTTGCCTTCCAACTATCCAGGCAAATTCACTCCCTTTGTCAATACCAAAAATCAGGGACAATTCTCGGGCTGTTCCAAACCAGCAAAGTGCCAAAAAGACAACTCCAGAGTGGGACCCCCCTATCAAGATCCGGGAGCACATAAGATGAACTGGGTTCCCATTGCCATCAGCTGCAAGTTCCCCATAGGATCCTTCTCAGCTACTTTAAACCAGCGAAGGGCAGATACCCCCAGTGAACATCCCAATCCCAAAATGGGTGGTGCACCTGTCCCAAAATGGTACCTTTGGTTTTGAACCATGGCCGGTGATTTTGCCTCCGAATGCTTGGCCCAGGCTATTTGAATAGCGGCGTGCAGTGCCTCTCACACACCACTCTGCTGCGGCAGAAGCTGCTGGAGACGGACGAATCGGATGGGGCCACTTGCAGGCGCGAATCAGATGCGAATCGAAGGCGCTCCAGGGGCTCTCAGAGGGTTGCCTTGTTTACCACTGTGACTGATTTGGTTGAAAGGTAAGCTCATTTTTTCTTCTTCTTTTTTCTCGCCCGCATCACAAGTCTAGCCAAAGTTACCCTCTCACCAATTGACATGGAACCTGACGTTCGGGGGTTTCTGGAAGACTGTTTTCCTTTTGCAGCGAACGTCAGGTTACGGCTGTTTATTGGTGGGAGGGTATGTTTGAATTTTGCAATCGTCGACAGAGATTCGGAAGGGGGTTTGCCCCAACTCCACCTGCTTGGCCCCTCAGGGCCTTCAAAGGCGTGGTGCAGGGCTTGTGGGCTGCGGAGTCTCCAGCACCTGGCATGCTGAAGGCTGGGCAAAACGGCGGGCTTTTGTGGATGGCAAGAGGGTTTTGTTCACATGTCAGATGTTGTGGCACCTAAGTTTGCCTGCAGCCATTCAAGACAGGGCTTCCCCTTTCTGAAAATTGTAAGTCGCAGGGGGAGAGGAGGGGGGGCCTGGTGGAATCATTTCAGGTTGCATTTTATGGCCCCCGAATTTTCCGGCTTAGTGCGTTTAGGCCCCAGGCTCCAAGCCAACTAGTTGGAGACAACCACTTAAAACATCTAACGTACCCCGTTTAAGGTAAGGGGGATATTGGCAGCTCGTGTCCTTTGCATGGCTGCTGGAGCTTCTTTGCGAGAACCACGGTGTAGTTGCTTGATGCCTTGCAGATTTTCCAAATAGGCGGCAAAATGACCATATATGACCATAATGAAGGCACAGTGGGGGTGGCATCCAAGTTGAGGTTCCACGCTTATGCGGCATGAGTCTCCGGTGTGCGTGTGTGCGAATGCGTGCGAATGCGTGCGTGCGCTGCGTCGGAAGGGCTGCAAAAGAGATGCTGAGGGATGATACCAGATAATGAAGGAGATATCTTGCCCGAACATTCATTGAACCCCCCTCAACATTCAAAGGCAGCGCGGACAAATGTGAAGGCTTTGTCCAAGCCTGACAGCATTTCTGCAGTAGCTGGCTGCGTGTTTGCCTTCCACCATCCTAATGGGAATGTTGCGTGCCTCTTTTGGTCTCGTCAACTAGCCAGGGCTAAGAGCAGCAAACCAGCGAAGAAGAACAGCAAGCACTCCGCGGAAGACACGTAGAAAGCACAGGAAGGCGTGTGCAGGCCAACATGAGGCACAGCCCGGTCGCCCTTTTGGCTTTTGGCGCTTCGTGCATGTGAGAACATGCTCTGAACAGTCCAGCCGTGGCGTGCCCCCGTCGGTACCGCTAGTGTGGGATTTACACATGCAAAACAAAATTGAGACGGCAGCTCTTTGAGAGGCTGAAGTGCTTTTGTAAGAGGGTGGCCGCTTGTAGGCCTCCATGGTATGGCTGGTGCATACTTGGAGCACCCAATTAAAGTCGGACAGGAAGCCTGGGGCTTTGGTAAGTCCGGCAAAGGGCACATATTAAGTGTCTTATGGGCCCATCGGATGGCCGCCACAAAGGTGTTCACTTCTTTTCCAAGCGGTATGAGCTGGGCATCTGTGGTGTACGAGGTGTCACGAAGGGTCCACGGCTGACTTTTGCACAGGCGAACTGGGCTTCTGGTCCCAGTGAAAAGAATGAAGTCGGTGTATGCTTGCACCATGGAGACGCTTGCAGTGTTCATGATTGTGACACCGCTCGAGCTTGCAGGCCCACTCAAAAATCCGTCTGGCAAATTCACCGCCAAATGGGCAAGAGTCAAGCGTTTGGCGATCCACTTGGTGAATGTGTTTGAAAGTTGGCGCGCCAGGCGGTACATCCAAGCAGCCTATGTCATGAAACTCGCGTTCAACCGGCGGTTTATGCGCAAAGGATACATCAGCAGCGAGAACTAAGAAGTCATGGAGTTGCTCAAACTTTTTGCGGGTCGCTGATTGCTCGTCAACCTGCTTTTGTAAGTTTTTAAGCAGACCCGGGTGGGTCTCCATGACGGTCACCTCGGCTCTGTGGTCCGCGTGGTTATTGTGGACGGCGGTCCACGCCTCAAAACTAGTAACTTGGACAACTGCTCACCAGAGGGCCCACAAAGCCAACTGCTCCCACTGGCTGCAAGCTTCACGGCTGTGCGCCGTGTCCAGCGTGAACTGCGCTCTTTGGCAGAAGGCGGCGTTATCTGTGTATATGAGGCAGACACGTGAGCGGCTCAGAGCAAGAATGCCAGCGTAAAGTTTCGCTCGGAAAATTGATTGCTCCTGGCCAGGCAGCATGGATGAAATGCAGGGAATCAACCTGGCTTGTATACTGACGATCCTTTGAGAAGAAGGCGGCGCCATCTGTGAAGAGGTGGAGACGCTCAATACAAACAGGGGCGGCGGGCTGGTGCCACAGTGTCTCTACAACTGGTCTAAGGACCGGATCCAGGTCCATGACCAGTGGAGCAAGTGCATAATGACTCCAACAAGGCGGCTGACGCTCAAACCAGGCTATCGTGTTCGCAAACTGGCTCCGCGCTTGTTGAAGAGCTACGCAATGGAAAATGCGATGCGGACGCGCATCTACTTGGTCACACAGGGGGCAGTTGGGTGGCCCCTGTGGTGGACCATTTGCTGGTTACATCGTTTGTAAAATGACTACCACAACAATAGGTTTTCAGGATGCCTAGTTTGTGGCCGTGATAGCTTGCCAGGGATTTGTTCACACCCTTGGTGTCGACATAAAAAAGTCTTTCTAGTTTCACGGATGCGCTTACAAGCCTGGAAGCCCACACCTTTTCAAAGACAAACTGGAGAAACCCAGAAGACGCTTGAGTCCACTTGAATGGTCTAAAATTCGGGCAACACAGGTCACCCTCAGGCGCCCCAAACCCCATGATGTGTTTTTATTGAAATGGTGTGGGGATTTGTTTCGGTGAGAGGACACCCCCTCATCGCAAAAGCATGCAAAAGCGGTTCGTGAAAGCTCTGCGGAAGGGCTACTTCAGTGTTCAGACAACACTCGGGGCAGGAAGCGTGCAGGTGTTGACAGTGCGAGAGTACGCTAGTTGCTGCTGTGTTTGCCTGGGGGGGGTTCTGCGCAAGCGAAAGGTGTGGGTCCAAGGCTCTGTACTCTACTGAGCAGTTTGATTTTCAAACTGGAGCCACCATCATGTACTTGGTGTACTTTTCTTGTACCGAAAAGTGCTCTGCAAATTTCAAGGAGCCGTCGCCAAAGAGACATGAACGTGCCGATGTAAAACACGCCTCTGCGAAAGGAGAACTCGCAGGCGCGAAAGCCGCGCGACAACTTTGCACAAGAGAACGGCGAGGGTAACCAAGTCTGGACCAGTTTTGAGCACCTCTCGCGTGATCAATTGTCTTGCTTTCTGCGGGAGCGTGACACACACACGCACACACACACACACACACGCACACCCACACACACACACACCCACGCACACCCACACACACACACACCCACGCACACCCACCCACCCACCCACCCACCCACCCACACCCACCCACCCACCCACCCACGCACGCGCACGCGCACGCGCACGCGCACGCGCACGCGCACGCGCACGCGCACGCGCACGCGCACGCGCACACGCGCACACGCGCACACGCGCACGCGCACGCGCACGCGCACGCACCCACACACGCACACGCACACCCACACACACACACACACACACACACACACACACACACACACACACACACACACACACACACACACACACACACACACACACACACACACACACACACACACACACACACACACACACCACACCACCCACACCACACACACACCACACACGCACGCACGCACGCACGCACGCACGCACGCACGCACGCACGCACGCACGCACGCACGCACGCACGCACGCACGCACGCACGCACGCACGCACGCACGCACGCACGCACGCACGCACGCACGCACGCACGCACGCACGCACGCACGCACGCACGCACGCACGCACGCACGCACGCACGCACGCACGCACGCACGCACGCACGCACCCACACACACACACACACACACACACACACACACACACACACACACTCCCCACGCCCACGCCCACGCCCACGCCCACGCCCACGCCCACTCCCACGCCCACGCCCACGCCCACGCCCACGCCCTTGCTTAGGCTGGCTAGTCTAGCCAGGTTCTCCGAGTTCTCCCTTCAAAATCTGAAGCAACTTGCGTTTGACATTAGGCTTGGCAATATTTGGGTGGAAGGGCAGTCTTCCGGATAATTGATTTTTGAACAAATCGCTATGCTGTGTGGCCGTGGCTGCGTTAGGCTGTGAGCCCCTCCGGAACTTGAGCAGCAACCTGCCAGGCAAAGCGATACATGAGAACAGACTGCGTGTCCACCCCACGTTCACTGCGTCGTGTTGATGGGCAGCTATGTTTTTCTTGCAGCGGGTCGTGTGACACAGCGGCCTGTCGAAGCACGTCGTCACAAGCCACGAGAGCTTGCCTGAGCAAGTGAAAGCGCGGGCGCAAAGCAACAGCTAGGGCAAGGGCGAGAGTATATTAGGTGTTGTGTCCAGTCTAGTCCTTCTGTAAAAATAACGACACCACCAGGGTTGTCCCAAGCAACCGCTTGCGAAGGCAAGCGTGGCAGCTGCAAGCGCCAGTAACAAGATCTTTGCATCCAGCGAGCAGCAGGACGCCCAAGAGTGACTAGGCTGCAAGTCATACAGTTGATGAAAACTTATGGAGCATTTGTATCTTCACTGGTTACATTCCAGCTCCGCTTGCCATCCGGCCAAGTGAGAAAGGTTTCAATCACCTTAGTGGGAATGTGTAGCGTCTTGCCGGCTTGGTCTCGCAGTTTTGCTTTTGCCTTGCCTCACTTGGCCTCATCTTCTATGTTCATGAGTGCGTGTTGCGCGCGTGTGTGTTAGGCAGTGTTTGGTTCGTCTTGGCCAAAACTCTACATTCGGCAGCTGCACCAACTTTGCAAAGTGGCAGGTGGACTGCTGCATGTTTGCGGCATCTAAGATGCAGGTGCTTTCTCACGCAGGCGGATCACTTCGGATTGCCGAGGTTCCTGCAGGCCTTGCTTGAGGCGGTCCACCAAGATCTGGAGACCGAGGGCGCCGCGGCTAGCAAGCCAGCCATTTGGGGGGCAACTGGATGCCATGTGACATGTTCATCTATTATCATTTGGCTTTGTCTGGCATGGCTTCAGATTCCTTGGGAAAGTCCAACAAAAAAGGTTTGAATGGAAGATAGTCACAGGCAGTCACAACTGCTTCTTCTGCAAGCCTCTGCCTCTTTGTCAATCCGAGCCCTGTAGAACCGAGCGAGGTGCTTCCGTGGTGTCCGAGCTCCTGGAGGGGCAACTGCAATCGGAACTGCAGTGCACCTGCGGCAGCCACCAGAGCCTGGAGGCGGCTTTTGGCGGCTTCGCGCGCCAAAGCGCCAAAGCGCGCATGTCAGGGGGAGAAGATTGGTTGGTTGTGGTTTCATCATACCCCATTTGCTTAAGAATATGTTGTGTAGTTCCCTTTATTGGTTTAAAAGGGAAACTAGCACTACTGGAAGTATATGGATTTCTCCCAATTTGGAGCAATTGGCAGACAAGCTCCCAGGGATGAATGATCAGGAAACAACATACATCAGTCTCAAGGCTTCCTTGCAGGCGTGCTGCCTTTGAAGAGAGGGTGGGTGCCCTGCTTGGCTTCAAGAGAAAGGGGCAGTGCCAGTTGCCAGGCCCCAGGAGCTCCGCTTCCACTTAAGAACTGCCACCCAACAAGTTGTGACGGCGAGAGGCTAGGTCTCTGGGGTAAGCGGGAAAGCGGCCCTTGCAAGGCCTTTTGGTCGCTGCCGCTGCCCCTTCCGCCTGCTGGACAGGCGGAAGCATTGATCATTTCAAGGGCGTCAGGTAGTGTCGGCCCTCCGGCCCAAAGAAGCCATCAGCCGTTACATGATTCTTCTGATGGCTTTTCTTCACGTGCCATGGCCGTGGGAGGTGGATTTGCTCACCGCAGTGGAGTCCTTCTGCGCAGAGGAGCCTGTGGAGGCGCCCAGGGAGCAAAACGTCGCAGGTCAGCTGAGGGCCCATTTCGAGCCTGCTCAGGCGCTGTAGCTCGAACAGACATTGGGTTAAAGAGTTTCCAGCCAGGATGCAATTGCCAGACAGCGTCTTGAAGTTCAAAATCCAGTCATTCCATGTCCTTCCCCCCTGGAATCCTACACGATGAGCCCTGCACAGCTGTGCGCGACACAAGTGTGCGCCGTCAGTTTTAGACACCACTATTTCTTTCAGTATCACCACACCTGCTACACGGATTGCCGTGCTTAACTGGTTAGTGCCGTTTGAACACAGAGGATTGTGCCTAACCGACATGTTCTGAAGTGTCCAGCGGTTTGTTTGAGAACTGCGCGGCATGTTGGTATTTCATGGGAATGGGCCATGTGCGGCATGGTCCATACTGTGGATGCACGAACTCCTGCATCAGTTGGTGGTATATCCCAGTTTGTGGTTCATCCATCCCTGGCGCACTGGTGCATTTTACTCAAACAAATCGTTGAATCAACCAACGTAAGGCTTCCCTTCACTCAATGGTTCAAAGCCCACCTTTTTTTTCAATTTTGGTCCATATTTAGTCATGGCCCCAAAAGGTTAAGCTTTTGGTTTCCAGGTTCTTTGGGCAACTGAGTTCAAAGAAGTCATGGTTTCGCGAGCCAAGGGTCCTTGGAGATGCGAAACCTGCGGTGCCACGGCAGCCACCCGGCGCTTCCGCTTGCATTGCCCGCCAAAGGCGCGGAGGGGCCTTGATCGGTCCAAAGGAGAACCGCCATACATACCTCCCGCCAATTAACTCTACTGCTGTTGGGTTGGATCTTTAGACTTTAACTGTTGGGAGTTTCCTCATACCTCTGTTTAACCGGCAAAAAGCCAATGTTTTTGCTGGGGGATCTACATGGCCATGGGTCAAAATCCAAATCGTACCGCGAGTGAACATCCCAATCCAACCACTAAAATAGGCTAATTCACCTACCCAAAAATGGTACCATTCGTTTTGACCCACAGCCACATACCTCCCGCCAATGAACTTGGAACCGGGTCCCTCTAAAAGGAAAATACTTTCAGGCCCCTTTCCCCCCCTGTCAGGTTCCATGTTAATTTGCTGAATGCTGAGTTGTGCTGCCACTGAAATATGAATCAGCAACTAAACAATCGCATCAATATTTTTCAGTTGACTTGAGATTGATTTGAAGAGCCTAGTAAGTAGGCGGTCCGGGCTTGAATGAGTTCGATGAGGAATTTGGGGAACTTACATTTATGGTGTATTGGGGACCTACGCGGCAGAGAAGAGGAGAGATTGCGTGCATGTGGAGGCTATTGTGAATTGATTTTAGGGTTTCAGGCTGCAAACTGGGCCTCCTCAAGAGCATCAATCCTTAGATGCGGAGCCCGGTGTGATTCCATTGCTATTTTGAAAGCAGAAAGGTTTGCTTTCCAAGCCCTTGATACCTGGGGACATGCGGCCACACAAGTGTTTGTTGCGGTGCGTGCGGCAGCCAATTATTGTTTCAGGCGTTTGTCTCTGGATCCTTTGAGGTTGAAAGCTGACGATGGGCCAAAACCGCTTCGAGTTGACCTTGAAAAGCAAATAATCAGAACAGGGGTTGGATTTGCAGCCTGTTGCACTGGCGCTCCTGCCCAGGGAAGGTCCACAATTGTTACTTGCTGAATGTTGGTACTACGAACTTCCAACCGCGAGCAGCCACGGTTGGCTCTGAACTCCATTCAGCACCGGGAGACAGACAGGGTTCTGGAAGAAGTGCACCCAAGTGTGGTTGGGCAATGAATCGGCCAGCTTAGCATTGCTTTAGAGAAGATCTACATGTAGCAGTTGAGACTTTTGGGGCTTTGCCACTTGCTTCTGGGGTGCATGTGGCAGGGCTGCAGTCATTTCAGTGATTGGCGTGCAACCGGAGCGACGCCAGGTCCTGCAGCTTCACTTGAAGCGCTTCCAGTGGAGCACGCCACAGGCCGGCGGGAAACCTTTTTGAGCAATCGTTTTGGTTTTGCACAGAGGCGACATGGCATTGGAAATAAGACTGGAATGTGGCTTGGTCTTTTTTGTTGGGAATGCAGCTTGTCTTGGCCTGGTGATATCTAGAGTTGGAAGATGGTGATGGCAGACGTACTTATGTGTCGCCTTCAGGGCATTGAATGCAGTCGCTCGTATTCTGGCTTTCCTTTGGGACTTCGGCTGGTCGACTTTTGGTGTCCGCACCTTTCGACTACCTCGCATGCCCGGGCCCAAGCCCAAGATCCGATCCGAACTCCGAGGCGGCGAAGAATCAAACCGGCGCCTCGGAGGTCTCAGCGCCGGTGCCAAAGCCGAGCGAGGCCGAGGGCTCGCCAGCGTCGGTTTCTTTCGACGGGTTCCAAGCCCCTTGCCGTCTCTCCAGCTCCCCAGTGGCCCTCTTTCCTTTTTTTTTTTGGGAAGGGTTCCCCTTTAAAGTCAACAAACCAAGGTCGCTCGTTGCAACCTTTGGCATGTTTGGGTCGTGAACTTTGGGCATGCAGCTTGACATGTCGCCCACTGCCTGCAATGCCTGTGATCCCACGTGCGCATACAATTTATTATATGATCGGTTGCCCCAATAGCACCATCAACATGTTTTACAGAGATTATTTTGTCTTATTATTCAGTAGGCCAGTCTTCATCATTTGCTCTCTCAAAATGTTGATCTAACTTTGCAATAAAATCATCACCCTTTATTACACAACCTATATACAAAGCAGGACAAGTCCTAGCGCAAATACACCCCGACTCCCCGAACCCAAATCCGCCTGTTGCAACGCTGCAAGCGCTAGGCAGGGCCCGCCGAGCGCCTGGAGCCACCGGTGAAGGCGAGGCAGTTTTGCCGAGAGCAAGCTGCGTTGACTCCATGCAACGTAGTTCTTTGTGTTAAGTCGTGTTTGTTCGAAGCTCTGTGTGTTCTGTTTTGTTTTTTTGTTGGGAGGGTGGGGGGTGGGGGTGAACAAGGGATGAAGTAAAGCGAGTAGAGGGTCTGGCTTCCCCAACAGTCGATTCATGCATTCTTGGTGTTATTTCAGGAGGCCATCGCAAGGAAATGAGTGAGTAGAGGGGAGTTGTGGGGCACCAAGACCAGGTGGCCAAGCCTGCTGAAAGCGATACAACTGGAGCAGTGGCAAAGGTGCCGGAAGTGGCAGAGGCGCCGAAAGTGGCAGAGTTGGAGGTGGCAAAGGTGGCAGAGGCTGGGACTTCGCCCTTCACAGAATGAAACTGGCGAACCATACAAATCTTTGGGCTGGTCTTCTCAGGCATTTTAGCGCGCGGTTGCTGCAACGCGCTACCCACGTTGTTGTTTCTTTTCAAAAGCAAATTAAACAAAAATATAACTTTAAAAATAAAGGAGCCATTAGCTGGGCGGGTGTGGAGGGTGTGGGCACCTGGGCTTGAGGCCACTTAGCTGCTCCTGCCTTTTGAGCCAAGCTCACCAGAGGATGAAGGAGCCCTCGTGACTCAAAGCCCGGGGCTAAAGGATGCAGCTAAATACCTGGTAATTAGACCGCCACCAGGTGATGCTAGTTGTGTTGCATATAATTATATATATATATATATATACATGTGCGATGGAGTTGCGGTGAAGATGGCTGCACTTGGTGTGGCGGTTGTGGACTTGGAACCCTGGCGCGTAATTTTCGGTTGGTTCCTCGATGGTGGCTGTGCGAGCCCTCAGGTTTGTTTCCTTCAAGCTGTCATTTGGTGGGCAAGGCCACTGTTCCCAAAGCAGTCAAGCCGGGGACGCCCCTGGAGCAAGGCCCATGACTCCACTTTGACGCCCCTGCAGCGAGCTGGGCAGCTCCCTTGGGAGAAGCAGGAGACGCCCCCCGGCATGACTTTTGCAGCACTGGCAACGGAGTGCCTCCATGGACGGCAGCGACTTACCCAGGGCATGTGCAGTCATTATCATTCCAGACTGTTCTTTTGCACGGGCAAAGTCGGCATTTTGTTTGCCACCATGAATCCGACAAGATCCTGAACGTGAACCATGCTTACACATGCGTATCACAGACACACACAGACACACACACACACACAGACACACACACAGACACACACACACAGACACACACAGACACACACACACACACACAGACACACACACACACAGACACACACACAGACACACACACACACACACACACACACACACACACACAGACACACACACACACACAAACACACACACACAGACACCACACACAGACACACACACACACACAAACACACACACACACAGACACACACACAGACACACACACACACACAGACACACACACAGACACACACACAGACACACACACACAGACACACACACACACAGACACACACACACACAAACACAAACACAAACACAAACACAAACACAAACACAAACACAAACACAAACACAAACACCAACACCAACACCAACACCAACTCCAACTCCAACACCAACACCAACACCAACACCAACACAAACACAAACACAAACACCAACACCAACTCCAACTCCAACACCAACACCAACACCAACACACCACAAACACACATGTATATATAATATAATATTCATATATTTCCATATACGTACACACTATAAACATGTGAGTGTGTGAACGCACCGAAATCTATGCTGCAATGGCTTGCTGGCGGCCAGATTTTCGTCTCCCGGGGTCAAGGCTCTACGCCATGCTGCTTCGGGTCCTGGAGCGGCTCCGGGACCACCCGGCAGAGCCCAAGTTCCGTTCCATCAGCGCCACCTCCGAGCGGCTCCAAAAGGATGTGCTGGGCGTGGAGGGAGGCGCGATGTGGGTGTGGGTGTGGGAGTGGGTGGAGGTGTGGGGTGTGGGGTGAGGGGTGGGTTGGGAGGCGGGTGGGGGGGGGAGAGGTCGCGGAACCTGACTCACCGCAGTTTTGCTGAACTTCCAGTCCCTAACCCCTGGCAGGCGAGGCCTTGCTTCTTTGGTGCGGATTCCTGCGCGCTGGGCCCAAGTACGAAGCTGAGGACCGCAGGGCTGAGCGGCTCATAAAGATCACAACATGCTAAGCTTTGATCAGCAGCAGGCGTAATGCCTGCCCGTTCGAGCAGGAAGGGGAGCTTTGAGTCTGTTTTCATGTCACTTCCCTGCTCGTACCAGTTCGTTCACTTGTGCGTTTCCCTTTTTTTGTGTGGTCGAGTTCGTCAGGGTTGTCCTGGCTGTTCTGCGCCCAGCGTGAGGAGAGCCTTCCATTTCGTACCACACCAGTCATCTCCATGCCATAGGGGTCGTTTTGGCAGCTAGCCGGAAGCCTGCAATCATGTTGTGGGTTTCGTCAACAATGGTAGCAATCGGCTCAAGCAGTTACAAACGCTACCCTCCACACCCTTTTCACATGGAACCTGACGTTCGGGGGTCCCGGGGACCCCCGGAAAGGCTTTTTCCATGTGAAAAGGGTGGGAGGGCTAGCTTGAACCACATTCTGACCGCTTGCTCCAACTTGCGCGGTAGGAGGATGTGGGCTTCGCTGGCAGGCACGAGGAGCTCCTGGACCATGCCACCCGTGCTTTGGACACATCCGCTTTAGTGCCCATCCGCTCATCCAATTTAGGGGCCCCACTTGGGGGGGAAATCATTTCCTTGGACAACATGACCTGACTGCCGCATTCCCAGGCGAGCGAGACCGGGCACTGCGCCGCGCCCGGGACGAACGCATCGCCGCGCGGCGCCTGCAGGAACCGAGGGGAAGCGGCGTTATGATGGGATGGACAGCATGCTGCCACCATGGTAGTGCACCCAGGGTCTCTAAGGGAGGGGCTAATAGGCGCTATGTCACATTGCCAGTGCAAACTCCAAATTACATCCATGATGGAATTATTTGAATGATGCTGCAGGGCTTCCTGATGTTTCCTGTGTTGCCACTGTTTTTTTCTAATTTGCACATGGTGCGCATTTTTTCGGCCTATGCCTAACAAGGTAAACCTGTAGGCTGCCTGTCATCGCCTTTCCGGTGCTCAAGATATGCCACACTGCAAGCGTCCCAATTCAAGTTGAAGGGGATTCGAGGACAGTTGCTTTGAGCTGTAGCACGTCTGCAAGGCTGCTAGTTCAAGGGAAGAGAGGCGCCTTTTGGACACCTATGCCTTTTGGGCCGTTTGGGCTCTTGGATTTTATAGATCATGGGGAAGACAGTTTTGGTGGTAAATATGTAGTTCCTACATTTTGTTGCCAATCTACATCTAGGGTAACTTCCCCATGCTTTCCAGGGATCCTTCTTTCTTGAAAACCACCAAAAAGCCTGGGGAAATGGCTGGCTTTTGAAAAGAACGATGGCTGAACAGAATGGAAGTGGAACCAACCCCTAGAAGGAAGTGCGTGGGCCGTGGGCCGTGGGCCACTTCAGGAGCTTCCAACGGGCGACACGGGGCCGCCGCTGCGGCGCTGGGGGGGCCGCTTGCCCAGCTGGGGCGCCAGAGGTGCTTGGAGCAGCGGCATGGCGTGCTCCAAGCGCCGCGGACCCGAAAGAGTCGGGTACGGGTCGCAATGAAATCCGTTTTTGGGTTTAACTTACCAGGGTTCATGTTTCACTTGCCATGGTTCATGTTTCATGCTTCACTTACCAGGGTTTAGGTTTTAGTCCATGTTTCACTTGCCAGGGCAAACCATTTTGGGTACCTAGTTTTGAGCCACAGCCAATCGAGTAGAGGTCTTGTCATATCGACCTTCGCGCAAGCAAAAGCTCCACGCGCGTAAGGCGGCGTAAGCTGGTGGCAAGCAAAATCACGACACGTTTATAGGGCGTTTAGGGCATGGCTCAATTGAGGTCGTTCGCACCAGTCCCACCCTGCCCCGAGCCCGCCGGACCGGACCCCAGGTGACTGTGTTTCCTGGATCTTACTGGTGCGGTTGCAGAAAGATTTGCAAGCCATAGATCAGCTCCATTCGGAGTGAACAGAATTTGTGAATGGGGCTGGCTCCCTTGAGTTGGAGTCTAGCCTGCGTTTTAGACGCAATCCCAAAGAAATGCCTGGCCAAAGCTGAGCAACGAACAATCCTCAACCAAGAACGCTTAAAAGAGTCCTAAGTCCTAATTCCTAAACCCTTGCCCTAAGCCCGTAAACGACACCGAACACCCCTAAACCTTAGGATGGTGTTGCTGCACGGCCCTTTGTCTTTCACCAACGTAACTTGGATCTCATTGATTTGGCGAGTTCTGGGTAATTGATCCAGCGCCCCTTGTGAGCTGTGAGTGCGCTTAACACAGGTGTTCCGTGGGTTCGGCCCTTTCCGAAGGATCACCTGCCGGGTGGTGCTGGAGACGGACCTCTCACCCCGGGGCTTGAAACCTTTGAACCTGGCGAAGCTCTGTACCCAGGCCGTCGACTGCCTCTACGAGCCGCCTGGCTCAACGTGCGCACGTAGCTGCGCACGTAGCACTGCCCATTTAGCAGGGGCAAACCAAAGCACGCATGTCAGACGAGTGCCTGGCGCGCGAGAGGGTTGTCAAGTTGCACATACTATGTGCCATGCTAAGCATTGAAGGCCCCACATACTCCATGCTGCTCTCAACAGCGGCCAAGATTTTGCCCATGCAACAGCGGTGTGGAATGAAACAAGACATTGCGTACCTAGGTGGGTGACAGGGGAGGACCATTGGGCTACCTAGGGTGTTCCGTACATGAGCGCTTGCGTGCCGACATACACGCACACGCAAAGAGCCGCAGATGAAACATGAATTGAGACGCGGAGACACGCAGGCAGAGGGGCAGAGATGAGAGACATCTACATATGCAGAGTGACGCACGAACCCCATGTGTGCACATGCACGCACCTGTTGCCGAAGGTTGTATGCCGTTGTCCAGCACATTGGGGCGACGCCGTTCTCGGGTCACTACGTTGCGTCCCTTGGCGGGATGCTGCCAGAAGTCCTGCCCCCCGCCAGGGTGAACCCTTGAGGCCTTGGGCCGGGCCAAGCAACCATGTAGCCCGTCGCCAGTGAGGGTGAGTGGATCAGCCCAAGGTATTGCTGGCACGCGGCCTCCGTCTCTTGGTACTGCTTCGACGACTCCCGGGTCCGACAGGTGCCCGCAAAGCAAGTCGCGGAGCAGGCCCTGAACGAGGGCGCCTACGTGCTCTTCTTGGAGCGCGGGATGGGAAATCCCTCGGGCTTCAGAATCACGTCATGAATCCCTTGGGGCTTCAGCAAATCCGTGTTTCTTGGGGACCTCGTTGTCTTTGTCAGCGACTTCCTTGGTCTGGTTCGGAATTGAGGCATGCAGATACCTGGTTTGCCCATTGGGCACTGTCAAAAAGCAACGGGCGGGTTGGCTCTGTCTTTTGCGAACCCAGGTTTGTAATGACCAAGTTGCCAAGCAAGCAAGCACGTGGTTGGTTGATGGCGCAAGCCACTTTGCTTTTCTGTGCCTGACACGCACGGGGAGTGTGCAACTTGGAATGCATCAACCCATGTTATTCAGATATGCGACTTGGAGAGTGTGCCAGCCAAAGGCCCCACAAGTGCAGACAGTGGAAAGGGTGAGCTCTTGCAGGCGATGCAGTTTGATGACTTGAGTGGTCCTTGTTCTTGCATTTCACTGCAGGGCGCGAGGGGCTGAGAGTCTGTCATGACAAGAGCAGGTTTCCAATGAGCCATGGAACTTGCAGGAGCGAGCAGAGAGCCTCATCGCGCTGTGAGCCACAAGGGCGGTGTCAAAAGCAAGAGGCGTGCAACCAGATTGACTTATTGTCCGCGCCCCTTCTCCGTCTTCTTGTGTGCAAAGATGCTCTTAGTCATGGCCATGCAAGTTGACCAACGCAAGTTGACCACCCACCCCTCAGGGTGTGCCGAGGTCCGGAGTGAACAACTGCGAGAAACTGCTAGCTCCAGTTGTCCTGAGTGCTGTGCAGCTCAGCTGCAAAAGCCACTGCTGCACCAAAGCAGGTGTTTTCCGTGGTAGTTCGCACTTTATTCTCATTGGCTTGCTTTCCTTTGGAATGAGTCCGCATTCAAGGACGAGTTCG